GGGATTCTGAGAGCCGTAGAGGGTGATGCGTGGAGCGCTCGTGCCGGTGAGCGGGATTTCCCTGAAATCCTTCTCAGGGAAAAGAGGCAGCCACCAAACAGGTACGTGCCTCCAGGAGCTAAGAACGCCCGTACCGCCGGCCTGCTGGAGCTCTGGTTTCCTGACAGCGTTCTTTCTAAGCGCATCTGTGTCATTTGCCAAAGCAGCAGCCGCAGCTGAGTCTTTAGGACGAATATTCTGATTCTCATATGACCGCTTAAGAGCAATACACGCAAACGGAAAGCACTGATGGGGGCGGGGGGGCAGCTGGACCTACAATGGGGTCACATCCGGGCTTGGTCCCATGCTAGCTCTGTGACCCCAAACAGGTTATTTAATAGCCCTGTTTCTCAGTTTCTTTACCCTCAAAGGGGTGCTACGGCCCACCTCTCGCACGGTAACGGGGGCCAGCACAGCCAGCACACGCGCTGGTTAGAGTGCATTCTTCAGAGTTAAAAGACTCAAGTCCCAGCTGTCGCTCTGCTACTTATTACCTGTGTTTCTCAGGTAAGCGACTCACCTGCCCTAAGTTTCCATTTTCTTATCTGTGATGTGGAGACAATAAGAGCCCTGACTTTACAGGATTGTGATATAACTCACACAGGTCGCTAAGCATGGTGTATCGCACACAGCGAGAACTCAAAAATCCTAATTTCCACTCTCCACTATTTTTTAAAGTAAAGGGATGTGGGAGAGGTACATCAGCACTGAGGAAGGCGAACAGACAAAGAAACTGATGGATGTCAAAGAATTTACGTAGCAGTCTCACTACCCATAGGCAACAGCAAACACCCAAGATTTACCTGATCGGCCACTCTATACACTTCCTCCTTCCGGCTGCAATCACAGGTATATGCATAAACCCCTGTGGCTCCAGCTTCCCGAGCCATCTTGCAGGTCTCCTCATTCCCCTCCTGGCTGACATCCCAGAGAACAAGCACCGATCCAAGGCGGGCAAATTTGAGGGCTAAGAGCCTTCCAAGTCCACTCCCAGAGCCTGTTATAAGTACGATTTCACCAGCAACATTCTTCTGTGGCCTTGGGATTACGGCAAAAACCATAACCTCCAGAAGGGCAAACACTGATTTTCCCAAGAAAACGAAAAATTTCTTGACTGAGTTCAGGTTGGGCACCATGTTTTGGCTGACACCTATAAAGCAAGAGAGACTCATGTAAGGACCTTGGTATCCATTCCCTCTGAGCTTGCTTACTCCATGGAGCTCATACTTTCTGCAACAGTGAAAGAAACCAAGAAGCGTGATGTAAACATCTCTCCTGGCAGCAGACTCTCAACTTAGAAAGGGGAGGGAACCCACAGGGACCATCTCGGCCAACTTGCCTTCATAGCAGCAAGGTCATCGCTATCTACGCACCTGCTAAGCATTATACGTGACAGAAATGTTCAGTAATCAGGAACTGTACACGTGCCCAGATTTAACCCAAAGGAGAAGTTCACTATTTCTCATAGTTAACCTTTCTTCATAATAATCACAGGTCCTGATTATTCATGGTCAAAGCCTTGACCATGTGGTGTTTATGACGTAACTGCTCCCTTCTGGTTTTATTTTTACCTCCGTTTAGGTTTCTTATTTGCACTGTTTTCTTATTTGCATTGTTGTTCTTTAAAATCTGAGATTCAAGAGGAAAATGTGAGGAGGGGAATAACCAGATGTTCGAAACCTTTCCCCCGGACTTGCTGTCAGCACACGGTACCCCTTCCCCACGCTCTGAGGCCCGCACGCCAGATCACTTACCACTCGGCCCTGTGATTGTAGGATATCGGTGGGAGATGGGTAGGCCCTGCCCCTGCCTAGCTGTGGAACCTGGGGCGGCCCACGAAGGCCCTCTGGGCCTCGGTCTCCGCACCTCTACTGGTCCTGTGGCCTCGGGTGGTTTTGCAGATGGGATGAAAATGGCTGCGGTGCATGTGACCACAGTGCTGGCCAGCAGTAAGTGCTTTACGATGTTACCTTGTTTCTCAGACCCACGGGAAGGCACTCAGTAGGTCTGCTGAATGAATAAAAGGCCTCCCCTTGACAAATGCATACAAGGCTCAGTGCTTCCATCCTATCAGTTACTCACACTTTAGTGAGAATGAGTGTATAAGATGCTTCACTAACAACCAGCTGAGAAAGAAGGGAAGGTCTTATTTCCTCCGGGATGAGGAGAGAAGGGGCAAACTGCTGTGGGTGGAAGGCTTCCCTGAATGGAGTGGTCACCTGAGAGGCAGGGATGAGGACAGAAGATGGACATCATTAGTGAGGTGAAGCGGTTCTTCACTTACTTTGCAGCTTGGCTGAGGACAGACTAATTCTCACAGATTCATCTACAGGATGGCTTGAAGCATGGTCAGACCCTTAGGAAATTGTGACTTAAATTGTTGTTTCTTGGCTCATTCTACAGATGGGACTGAGGACCAGAAGAATATGTGTGTGGTTTGGCCAGGGTCCCTGTGCTAGTTCGTGCAGGCCAGGTGAGTTCATTATCATGTTTACTGAGCACCGACCCCGGGCAGGTAAGATGCTGGTCCCTGGGGCTGAAGGGGTGGGCAGCCTCCCATAATCTCTGCCCTGGTGAGACGCCTCTCTCCTCAGTGTCTCCAGCACCACAAGAGTGGCCGGAAGCCTCACCACTGTGCTGGCTGACATGAAAGTTACCGGATTCTAGACTTCGGTGTTCCGCTGTCTCAGTGCCGGCATGATGCAAGCCCTGAAACAAGCCCCTTGTTAATCCCTGTCCTGGCAGATTCTTCCTAGGTTCTCCAGAGCCTAGCATCCTGAGGTCTCCCTCATTTGGGGTTTAGGGTGTCTGCTGGGTACCTGCACAGGTAGTGAGGTCTAGAGATTAAGGTTTGGGTTGGAATTCGGGATCTGCCACTGACCTCTCAGCATCCTTGCTAAAAACTGTTGCATCTCTTCTGCCTCAGTTTCCTTATCTAAATAGTGGGATTCTACGAGTACATGCCAACATTTATGAAATAGGGAAGGTGTGCAAGTTAAATGAGGTTAATACAGGTATTAAGGAAAGGAGGGTAGTATGGTCACTACTACCCCGTAGGAAACTTCTGAGCAGACTGGGGAAAAACAAAGAAGGGGGCAGCCCTCTCCAGGAGGTAGAGGAGGGCGTGCCGTGGGATCTCAGCCCCCGCCAAGTTACGCACCCCTCCACCCCCCGCCCCCCATAATGCGGAAGCCAGGCACATGAGAGCAAAGTAAAATAGCTAGGGCTGTGATTGGTGTTCCTGCTAGCAATGTGAACTTCGGATCCTCAGCTATACCAAAGAAAGAGGGTTACAGCATGCAGACGATGTACCCAGGCAAACGTCTGGTTCTGTTTTAGTATAAAGTTTAGCAAGTCAGGGAGCATGTGCATTACATTTAATCAGGCTGAAGGCGTCTTTGGTGTCTCCATCCCATGGCTTTCACCCCCTTAGTCCAAAAGCTGAGCTAACTTGGTGCAGCCTAAACAGGTGACTTCCGCTTCCCCGGCCAGGGCGCGGCCGCAAGTCGGCCCTGGTGCCGGGGGTGCGGAATGGGGTGAATGCGGGGGGATGGCTGGGGAGGGGCAGGCAGATGCACAGAGCAGCGGGGAGCAGGGCACCTGGTCAGAATGCCCCGAAGGTGACGAGGTGACCAGGGATCAACCCCGCGCTGCTCCGGGATGGGGCGGGAGGCCACCAGCTCACTCCTCGGGGGCTCGCGGCGCTCCCCCGCGCTCGTCCCCGCCGCCCAGGCTCCCGGGCTGCGCCGTCTCGAGCCCCCGCCCCGCCTTGACCTTAACGCCGCCGGCGGGCCTCGGCTACTCACCCGGGATGCGCTGCCCTCGCTGCGACCGAGTGGCCGGCCTGCTCCGCCACGGGCCTCGCGTCACTGGTTCTCAGCCTCGCGAGGTTCCGGGTTTATCCCCCGCGCCGCCGGAGACAAAGTCCAAGGGCGGGACGGCCACGCCCGCGCGGGGGTGGGGCGCCCGGGGACCCCGCCCGCCGTGTGGGCACGCGCTCTTTTTTTTTTTCCCAGGCAGCCGCATGCAGGAGCTGGAGATTCTGTTGCGGGGACCCATCGCGCACCTGGATTCCGAGCAGGAGAATCACCAGGGGATGTTTAAACATTGCGATGCCCAAGCTGCACCCGGGATTATTAAGTCAGAATTGCCGGCTTGGCAGGAGGCCCTGGTACGAGCGATTAAAAAGCTCCCCAAGTTGGGGATTGGCATGTACACACGGCTATATTTAAAATGGATACCCAACAAGGACCTACTGTAGAGCCCAGGGAACTCTGCTCAATGTTATGTGGCAGCCTGGATGGGAGGGGAGTTTGGGGGAGAGTGGATACATGTATACGTATGGCCGGGTCGCTTTGCTGTGCACCTGAAACTCTCACAACAGGTAATCGGCTCTACTCCCACATAAAATAAAAAGTTTAAAGGAAAAACAAAAGCTCCCCAGGTGTTTTTAAAGAACAGCCGGAGGTTGGGACCCCCGTAGAAGAGAACCAGGGGGCGGCAGATGCGGAGTCCCTGCAGGAGGGGGCCAAGTCCAGCCTCTGCAGCCTGCAGTGCGGGGCCCAGATAACAGTTCGGGTCAAAGTGTGACTCCTTCGCTTGGGATCAAGGTCTACAGCTTCGCTGGCCCGGACTTTGGCGTGTGGGCCTGGGGGAGGCGGGTGGGGGCGGAGCTAGCTGGGGGCCGAGGAGAAGCGGAAGAAGTTTGTTCTGACTAGATCAGGTTGGGAAAAAGAAAGTCAGCAGTGCTTCTGATCCAACCGGTGTTTATTGAACGTCGTCTCTGTGTGCAAATATGCAGAAGACATAGCAGTGCTACATCTGTCAGGGGAAAAAAAGAAAAAAAAGAAAAAAGAAAAACTTCGGTTAAGAACCTTAGCTAATCATTTAATATGAGTCACCACTGAAATGACTGAGGTTGGAGTTTGATGGGTGGCGTGAGGAGAAGAAACATCCAATTACAGGGTGCTGAAAGAAAAACTGGGAGTCGGGACAAGATTCCCTTTGGAGTTCAGCCAGGGTTGAGTAGCAGGTCCAGGAGTGCTGAACACGCAGAGGAGAGCTGGTTAGCCAACGTATATCTGGGACAGACCTGGGTATGTGAGGAACTGCACCTTTGTTCTTTTTTCGGCTGTGAGAAGAGCCAGGTAGGCTGTATGAGCCTGGAGAACGGGGCAGGTGTGTTCATTGGTTTCAAGTCAGCGAACATCACCCGAGGACACGTGCCGTGGGGGCCTCTGCATGGCTGGGGGAACCGCAAAGTCTTTTTTTGGGGGGTGAGACACAGTCAGGAAATGCACACCTGCAGTTGATATAAACACGCAGGGTGCGGCCCCGGGTGCATGGAAGAGGGGCACCTGCAGGCTGGATGAGGAGAGGTAGCTGGGAAGAGCCTTCCCCACTCGGGGACAGAATGGGTCAAGGTGCGGGGGGCACTCAGCAGGGAGTGAGAAGTTGGGTGATGGACACCAGGTCACACAGCCCACCTGCAAGAGCTCAGATCGGGGGACGTCGGAAAACGGCAGCCTTATGTCATCTTCATGGTTTCTCTGAGAAAAATCCTAGGCAGTCTTTCTTCTTTCTGGTGAGAAGTTCACAGTAGACCTCAAGAAAGAAGTCTCCAGCAGTATTAGAAAGCTCATTGAAACAAAACAGGAATGTAAAGCAGTGGGGCTCCACTGATGTTGCAGTTCAGGGAACTAGAGGCCCCGCCTTGGGAGAAGGCCTCAGTCTGACTTGGTGTGGGAACGCTCAGTGGATGACCATAATCCTGGAAACTAAGAAAGTACATTTTTTCTTTCCTTTTTTTTTTTTGCGGTACGCGGGCCTCTCACTGCTGTGGCCTCTCCCTTTGCGGAGCACAGCCTCCGGACGCACAGGCTCAGTGGCCATGGCTCACGGGCCCAGCCGCTCCGCGGCACGTAGGATCTTCCCGGACCGGGGTACGAACCCGTGTCCCCTGCATCGGCACGCGGGCTCTCAACCACTGCGCCACCAGGGAAGCCGTAAGAAAGTGCTTTTAAAGGGTCCTTTGTGGCAAAGGCTATAGGGACAGATAGTTTATGGTGGCAGGTGTACAGTAGAATGGGCTAATGAACATATGAAAGAAAATGCTCTAACTTTATTCTTAGAGAAATGCATATTAAATCATTCCTTGCCTTCCAAATTGACAAATATTAAAAGAGAGAGAGAGAGAGAGAGAGAGAGAGAGAGAATGTCTTCATATGGAGGTAGTATAAGTTATACAAATCTGGAGAGCAAGTAGGTATCAGAAACTAGAAAGGTACGTAACCTCTCACCCAGTTCCACATATGGGTTTATCTTTACAAAATAATCAGATATCATTTGTTGACTCCAGGAATGGAAACTGGCTACTGGCAGTCGGGGTTGGAAAGGAGAATTCGGATTGTATTGATTCATGGAAGTGTATTACTCTTTCTGGAAATACATATATTATTAAAAAGAAACTGCTCATTAATTTCTAAGAAACATGTGCAGATGGAGCACTCTACAGTCATTTTACAAATAAAATCATGTTCTCAAGGACATAGAAAAATACTCTTCACATAATATGAGTTTAAAAAGCATAGTAGAAGACTAAATATATGATACGATCCAACATTTCTATGAAAACTGTATTTATATGCATTAGAAATGCTGGTAGTGAATTCGCCAGCATCTTGATATTTTTTATTATCGAATAGTGGAATTTTGGTTGGTTTTTATTTTTTCTTTGTGTCTTTTTGTATTTTCCAAATTTTCGATTATGTGCATGTTTTTATTTCATAATAAAAAGTGTTTCTCAGAACATATATACACAGACATTTCCATTCAAGATGGCAGACAAGCATTTTCTGCCAAAATTCCATTGAAATGAAAGGGAAGTTGTAAAAATGTGAATACAAACAAAGTAGTGCTAGAAAAAAAGGAAAGGATCTATCAGTGAGGACTGACTAGAGGTCCGTAAGCAGATGGATCCCGTTTCCAGAAACCAGAGCAAAAGATACTTAACCTAAAACACACCCGTGGCAGGAGCTACAGAAATGAGTCATTCTTCCCAACAAAACCCTGAGTAACTACAATTCAGTAAATAAACACGAAAGAGTGGAAATAGGACACAGGGCATCCGGATGGAATAAGAGTCTTGATATAAAAAACAAGACACTGAAAGTACTGAAATAAAATATAGAAAAATTATTTTGTAATTTGGGGCTAGGCAAGCGCCCACCCCGAAACCATCAATTATTGATCTGACTCCATAAAAAGTGTAAACCACCACACAGTAAAAAAAATATCATAAGCAAAATGACAAGCAACAGACTAAGGAGGCAATATTTTCACATAAAGAATCGACATTTGATAATTAGGCATAATTTAGAGCATTCCTCTAAACCACTCTGAGTAGGGCAGTAGGAAAAATGGGTAAAGAAATGCACAGGAATTAATAGGCAAATAAATACAAATGACTGAAAACATCTGAAAAGATGCTAGATGTCACTAGTATTCAGGAAAATGCAAACTGAAAAAGAATATCCTCTTTTTAATCCATTGATATCGAGATATTAAGAAGTTAGAGAAAATCCAGGCATGATAAGGGTGTGGGAACACAGGTGTTCTCGTGCCCTGAGTGTGAGAGCAGATTCTGGTGTACCCTTTATGGAAGGTGATTCGGCAGTAGCTGTCATGCCTTTGACTCTGCTCTTTCACATCTAGGGATCGATCACATAGGAATATTGACACTTGTGCATAAAGAATTCTCACTGAAGCTTGTTTGCAATAGCAAAAAAATGGAAACTCCGTTAATCATGGTGTAGTCATATAATAGAATTCTATGAAGCAACAAAAAGAATGACGTTAGAACTCTATATACCGACAGGGAAAGATCTCCACGGTATGTTAAGTGAAAAAAAAAAAAAGTACAGACTTATCCCATGAAAGTTAAATTTAAGATTGCACTGTGTGTGTGTGCGTGCGCGCGTGTGTGAATACAGATGGAAACACTTAGAGCAATGGGTTTGAGGACACACACCGAACTGTTCAAATGGTTACCCCAGGAGGGGACCAAATTCAGTGAGGGCCATTAAGGGAGGCTTCTCGCTTTAGGATATAGGTTTCTTTTTTTTTTTTTTAACTTAATTTTTACTAGAGTATAGTTGATTTACAATGTTGTGTCAGTTTCTGCTGTACAGCAAAGTGACTCAGTTATACATAGATCCACTCTTTTTTAGATTCTTTTCCCATATAGGTCATTACAGAGTATTGAGTAGAGTTCCCTGTGCTACACAGTAGGTCCTTGTTAGTTATCTATTTTATATATAGTAGTGTGTATATGTCAATCCCAATCTCCCAGTTTAGCCCTCCCCCCTTTCCACCTTGGGAACCATAAGTTTGTTTTCTACATCTGTATGTTTCTTATTATTAGACATTTTACAAATGTTGTGCATTATTTTGTAATCTTAAAAACGAAAATACCGTTTAAAATGGACATACTGTCTGTTTAGAAAAGACTCATTTTAAGAACAGATTGTCAACACAACATTGTAAGTCAACTATACTTTAACTAAAAAAATAAAAGTTTTAATTCCAAATCTCCAGAAAAAAAAAAAAAAAAGACCAGGTTGCCTTTGGGAATTACTTTGTAAAATAGTGGAAGAAGTCTAGTCAACAGGTGACACATTCAAACTATATTAGTTTTACCAAAATGTATTATTTTGGGATACTGTCTGGATCTGGTTAGAAGGAAATTATAAAATTCTCAGAGAAAAACAAAATTAGCTTAAAAATAGACTTGTTTGTTCCATGGCAAGAGGAAAGCAGTGTTAGCTGGGACAGAAGTAGGAAATGGGTGTATGTGAAAACTTCAAGGAGGTACGAAGCAAAGTGGGCTGATTTTAAGGGAATTAATTTCCAGGTCTTAAACCCCGCATGTGATCTTTCCTAAAGTGACTCATGTGAGTGGGTAGGAAGAACAATACATATAAACAAGTAACCCAAGAGTTGAAGGAGGCGAGGGACAGTTCTGCTGACACATGGCTGGGGAGAGTAACCATATACCACAGAAACTCACAAGTTCCCCTAAGACTTGGGGAAGACAGTGATAGGACAGGGCACATGACTGGCATTCCCTGTGTGCTGCATTTCTCAGGAGGGCTGGTCACACAGCCAAACACTCTTCATTCCACCTCTCACAGAAAAAGACAAAAGGAGGGGTTGTTATGAGTTTGTTCTTGCGCCTCTATTTATCCCAAGATCACTTTTTTTTTCCTGAGTAATCATAGCGTGAGTGTCATGGTGGTGAATTAACGCAGATTTGACCTGGTTTGCTATGCCAAGGTTGCTTGAGTCATGTTGGAAGACAATTCAGACACAGCCGGTGTCTCACGACACGGATAAGTTTTCTCCTCTTCATTCTGCCTTTCTGTTCTTGGATTTCTTTTCCCTTTTGATTCTGTCTTTGGTCAGGAAACACTGCTGGTGAAGGGCATTAGCTGCCTGTATTGGCTATTGATATACGATCAGATCGGGAGCAAGACAGGCAATCTGCCTCCTACCTCTGCCCCCAAAGCGTTACTGAAGTATAATTTACATGCTATAGAATTCACCCATTTTAAGTGTACACTTTGGGTTTTAGTAATTTACATAGCAAATTTACATATGCAAGTTTCGTTAATTTAGCATATTTACATAGTTGTGCATTATTGGGCTGCCTTCCATCACCCCAATAAGTTGTTGGAAGCGTTTTAAACCAACCATCTGGCTGAGATTTATTGTAGGGGATAACACGGATGATATCAATTCTGGTCCCAGCTGCACTGTATCTCACTAGGGCAGTTCTCTAGAGAGAACTCCCTCCCCAGCTCAACCCTCTGACAGTGTATCCTTTCTGGGATTCTGGGTTCATGTGGATGTTTCCCAATCCATCCTCTTGACTTTTACAGGCCCTGTGTTTTTGTCTTTTCTCCCCACTCTATGACCACCTAGGAGACCCAGGTACACATGCCTGCCCCACCTCCTGACAAACGCCAGCATAAGAGAGGCTTAACTCTCAGGATTTTCACGTTCTTATCCTTATCTATCCTTTTCAAAACAGTTCTACCAATTGGTTTAAAATATTAAAAAAATTTTATCCAGAATGTTTAGATCCATATCAGAAGGCTTTCTCTGGACATCTAGTCCCTCATATAATCAGAAATGGAAGTCATTATACTCATCCTTAAAAACTTTCCTTTTTTGAGTTTTGAAATAATATTTAGAATATTCCAGGAGTCTTCAAAATGGGTGTATGTGAAAACTTCAAGGAGGTACGAAGCAGAGTGGGCTGATTTTAAGGGAATTAATTTCCAGGTCTTAAACCCCACATGTGCTCTTTCCTAAAGTGATCTGCCCGGAACTAGACTGTGCTCTGCTGGCTCTCCTTTTCCACCTTCCCTCATAATCGAGCTGGTCCTGTTGTACAAAGTCTGGGGGTGCTTCTCACTCTTTCTGAACTTTACTCATGTTTTGCCCTGGATGCAAACCCCTCCTGGATGACAATTAGATAATTCTAGAATGGATAGCTCCTGAGGAAGAGATGAACGAGGGCAAAGGAAAGCTAGCACAGAGCTGAAGGGGGCAGTGCCTATTCATCCAGGTGGCCAACTCATGACAATGCTTCCTGCTTTCTCTATCTTAGTGCTAGAATTTAGAAGTGAGGTTTTTTGTTTTTTTTTTTAAATTTTATATTGGAGTATAGTTGATTAACAATGGTGTGTTAGCTTCAGGTGTACGGCAAAGTGATTCAGTTATACATATACATGTATCTATTCTTTTTCAAATTCTTTTCCCATTTAGGTTATTACAGAATATTGAGCAGAGTTCCCTGTGCTCTACAGTGGGTCCTTGTTGGTTATCTATTTTAAATATAGCCGTGGGTACATGTCAATCCCAAACTCCCAATCTATCCCTCCCTCCCCCCATTCCCCCCTGGTAACCAGAAGTTAGTTCTCTAAGTCTGTGAATCTATTTCTGTTTTTTAAATAAGTTCATTTGTATCTTTTTTTTTGGATTCTGCATATTAGCAATATCATATTATATTTATCTTTCTCTGTCTGACTTACTTCACTTAGGATGACAATCTCCAGGTCCATCCATGTTGCTGCAAATGGCATTATTTCATTCTTTTTAATGGCCGAGTAATATTCCATTGTATATATGTACCACATATTCTGTATCCATTCCTCTGTCGATGGACATTTAGGTTGCTTCCATGTCTTGACTATTGTAAACAGTGCTGCAATGAACATTGGGGTGCGTGTATCCTTTTGAACCATTTTTTTCCTCCAGTTATCTGCCCAGGAGTGGGATTACTGGATCATATAGTAGCTCTATGTTTAGTTTTTTAAGGAACCTCCATACTGTTTTCCGTAGAGGCTGTACCAAGTTACGTTCCCACCAACAGTGCAAGAGGGTTCCCTGTCCTCCACCCCCTCTCCAGCGTTTACTGTTTATAAATTCTTTTGATGACGGCCCTTCTGACCGGTGGGAGGTGATATAGCTCATTGTAGTTTTGATTTGCATTTCCTGACCTTGGAGAAGTGGCTTTACGTAGGGGGCGTCCTGTGGGCCCAGCAGTGCATCTCCCTCTGGTCACCAGGGTTGCATGCTCTAGGGGTGTCCCGTATGTGGGCTGCGCGGGCCCTTCTGTTGAGGCAGGCTGACTGCTGTGGGCAACTACTTAGTTGCCGGGCCCTGACTAATGCAGAGGATGCTGCCCACTGGTGCGTGGGGCTGCGTCACGAGGTGGCTGGCTTTGGAGCCCTAGGAGGGTCCTGGGTCTAGTGCTGGCCCGTTGGTGGGTGAAGCCAGGTCCCGGAGTGACTGACTGTGGGGCGGGGGGTCCTGGAGCTAGTGTTGGCCTGCTGGGTGGGCTGGGTCCTGACATGGCTGGCTGCAGGGCCACTGTGGTCCCGGGCCTGATGCCCACCCACTGATGGGTGAGGCCAGGTCCTGGGGTCTCTGAGCTTGTGTCAGCCTGCTGGCACGTGGGACCGGTCCTGGCACTGATAAACTAGAGGGAGGATTCCAATGTTGTGCTTCCCAGCACCAGTGTCCCCGTGGTAGAACGAGCTCCCAGAATGGCTGCTGCCAGTGTCCGTGTCCCCAGGGTGAGTCCCAGTTGCCTCCTGCCTCTCCAGGAGGTTCTCCAAGATCAGCAGATGGGTCTGACCCAGGCTCCTTTCAAATTACTGCTTCTGTTCTGGGTCCCAGAGCATGTGAGGTTTTGTGTGCACCCTTTAAGACTGGAGTCTCTATTTCCCAAGCCCTTTGGCTCTCCCAGAAGTAACCCTGCTGGCCTTAAAAGCCAAGTGTTCTGGGGGCTGATCTTCTTGATGCAGGATCCCGGGACTGGGGAGCTTGATGCAGGGCTCGGGCCCCTCGCTGCTTGGAGAGAACCTCCGCGATTGTAATTATCCTCCTGCTTGTGTGTCTTGACTATACTGCGTCTCTGCCCCTCCTACCCATCTCCTGAGGTTCCTTCTTTGTATCTTTGCTGTAGATCTCTTCTGCTAGTCCTCAGGTTGCTCTCATAATGGTTGCTCTGTAAATAGTTGTAACGTTGGTGTGCCCATGGGAGGGGGTGAGCCCAGGGTCTCGCTTCTCTGCCATCTTGGCCACTCCTCAGGATTTACAATTTAAAAAGTTTTAACAAGTTTGAAGACTATTGACATATACCAATTTTTCTTTAACGTTTTTACATTGTCTTTTTTTAATTGCTTTTGCAATTACCATTTTAGAGTTTTATCATTTTAGTCACTTTAGCAATAGATTTTGTAATTAATATTGATTAATTAGTAAAACTTTAAAAATCTGCTTCATCTAGCAAGAAACAATGGAAAAAAATAAACAGACGAACTATTCAATTGTCAAATACAGTAAAGCCATGGTTAGAAATTAGTTTTGAGTTAAAGGGCTTCTACTGAGTTAGGTCAACCTCCCTTTAATGATATAGACAGAGTGCTCATTTTAGCATTATCTTAGTGGCTCCAAACTGGACCAGGTATCCAGATAGCTTGTGGCATATTCATACAAGGGAATACTATACAGTAATGACAAGGAATGAACTACTCTGGACACAATCTGTGGATGCATCTCACAAACAAAATGTTGAGCAAAAGAATGATACACACAAGTAGATACTGTGTGATACCACTTATATAAAGTTCAAAACCAGCAAGATTTACCTCCGGCGCTAAAAGTCAGGACAGTGGTTACCTAGATGGAGTAATGACTGAGAGAGGGGCCAAAGGGGGTGGTCCTGGGGTGTCCTTTGTTGGCTACATCATGATCCGGGTGGAAGTCACAGAGATGAGTTCACTATAAAGAAAATCTATCAAGCTATATACACTGGGTGTACTTCACAGAATGTATGTTCTATTTCAATAAAAAGCTTACTTTAAAAAAAGACATCGTGCTTCTTTTACCCAATTAAAACCATGGCAACTCTCTTACATTAAATACTCTTTGTTTTACCTTTTTTACTGTTGCCGATAACGATGATGATTTTCAGGTGAATATTTTTCACTTAGCGTATCTTTTAGCCTTAGCCTGTGGAGAAAACACAGCTTAGTGACATTTTTATGCCAGGTCCCACCTTGTTAAGGATTTGCATCCTTCTGCAGCCTTTTTGGCTGAAGAAATCGCTGAGAAGCAGGTTACTTTTGAGTCTGATCATGTTTAACAAGCTTTCACTTGAGCTTGGTTTCCTGTAGCATCTCTCATTTACAGCAGGACTGAGGTGGGGTCTGAAACGCCAAGTGCCCAGAAGATTTTCTCGTCGAATTGCAAAAGCCGGTGCTTGGTGGGGACGCTGTGGGACCGCCCGCTGGCTTCCAGGGGTGCAGGTGGGTGCAGCGAACAGCACCCCGAGGCGGTGGTGCTGGGGAGCCTGGGCTGAGCACGTGGTGCCTCTTCCTGTGCCCACAGCTGGGACACATGCCTACCGCATGACCAGGCTTCCACCACCCCTACCCACGTCCTTCCAGCCACTCCCACCGCCTCCCAGGGGGCCAGCTCACATGCAACCAGAGCCTCGGGGGCCAAGACAGCCAATCTCTTTGCCTTTAGGCTTAACTGATCCCTTGAAAGTTTAGCAGTAGACTCACGTATTCTTCAAGAGATTCATTCACAGGCAGCTTCCATATTATCAAATCCATAATCATGGGTTTTGCATATCTGCTGCCATAGTCTAACCTCTACAGTTTGAAAAATGACAGTAGTAAAACCTGGAGAAGCACCCCTCTAGGTTTATTAGGTGCCGAGCACCTCTCTCCCAGAGTCGGAGCAATACCGGCCTCTGGGAGGACCAGCAGGGCATCCTTCATCCTCTCTGCGACCCCAGCCACTGGCCGCTCCTGGTGAGTTGGGAGCCCAGCCTGGCCTCTGCTGAAATGTGGCTGTTCCTGAGGAGGGGGGTTCCAGGGTGCATGGGAGGGAGAGGGAGAGAGGGCAGTGGGGCACAAGTGACCCTGGACCCTGGCTCAGCAGAAAGGGAGGAGGAAACTGCCTCGCTGGCTTGTGGATGGAGGCTGACAGCAGGCCGTCCCATCAGGTGACGACGGCACAGATCCCCACGTGTCTGTTGATCTGTTCCATCCGCCAGGGCCAGCTGGGGAATGTCAGCGCATACAGTGGAAACTGCAGTGAAGTTTGAATGCAGGAAAGTCCACAGGCGATGTCGTCCGGCTTTGCCTTGGGTTTACAGGATGTTAGAGCTGGGAAGGATTCTGGAAATCAGTTAAATCCAGAAGTTTTCTACCTGTGGTTTTGCAGACGTGACTTAGGTGCTGTGGGACCCTCACCACCCAGTCAACTAGATCAGGTACGTTTTGAGCCTCTTCTATATTCGGGAACAGCAAGTGGTTCTGAGTTTGGGCCCTGAACTCAGCGGGGGAAGGATGGAGGTGCAGCAGCCCGGACGAGACCCGAATCTACCCCTCCTGGGCTCTGTGACGCTGGGTGACCTGCTGCTGGACCTACTGGAGCTTCAGTTTTCTTCTCTGTAAAGTGAGCGTCACAACAGGTACTTATTCTGGTTGTAAGAAGTAAATGATGATAATGAAAAATAGTCAAAGCTAACACTTACCGAATCCTTGCAACTTGCCAGGTGCTTTTCTGAGTTCTTTCCGTGAACCACTCAGTGAGTTCTGTTGTAGACAGGACACCTGTAGTGCAGAGAGGATGACTTGCCCAGAGTTCCAGCTGCAATTGGTGGCACCAGGGCCGGATTCCAAACAGGGCTACCATCTTGACGACAGTGTTCTCCTGCCTCTCGCCATGGGTAACAAACTATGGAGAACTGTAATGTATTGAGCCTGGACGGCGTACCAGGCATTGTGCTAAGAGCTTTCCATGGATGCTTGCAACGCACGTCCTCCAGCAGTGTTTGGAGTTGTGGTGTGTTATTACCCTCATCTTACAGGCAAGAAAACTGCAGCTTAGTGAGTGACCTTGGCGAAGGTCAGCTAGTTGGTAAGTTGGGAGTTGACCTTGAACCAGCCATCACGTGGCCTCTCTTGCAGGAGATCCAGCACAGTGTGTGACACGGAGCGTCACGACCGGCTTCAAGGACCCTCGAGTGTGAGGATGCCCAGGGTCCTGTGTCGGAGGGCTTTGTATGGACTTAGCGTAATGCTCTGCCTTTGCTCTCTTCGATTTGCTCATCATTTAACCTTGAGCTTGTGTGTTGTGAGTTGAGTTTGATAGGACAGCAGAGTGTGTGCGTGGGCACATACAGTAAGCAGGTAGCTGTGTGCATGCAGGGCTGTGGTCCAGCTCCGCCCACATGCACAGTGGGTGGTGCACAGAGAGATGACTCCGAAGGCATGTGCTTTTGCTGTGGGGCAGTTTGGGGTGCACGGGGCCCAAGAAGGTGGCTGGGCCTGGACCTGGCCTGGTGGTGGCCGCAGGGGATAGAGGGCTCCACACGGGGGCAGTGCCAAGACCCAGGGTGGAAGGCTGGCTTGTCCTTTGTCCCCAGAGCCTGTCCCTGAGGCACCCACCTGAGCACCAGAATAGAACCTGCTGTTCTGTCTTGCCTCTTGCTTCAGGGAGGGCTTATTCATCATTCCAAGACGTTTCTGGAATTCTTGCCAGCTAACGCCTAAGGTTTATCCTAAGATGATCTTCTCTTCTAAGAAAAGATATTCTCCATTTTCTTTTTTGCTTCACTTACCTTTCATCGTTTTTCTTCCAAATTCTGCAAAGTTACCCTCAAATTCTCCTATTTTCCTTTTCTCTTACTGAGTCCGACTAGTGAGTCAAAAGTATGTTCAATAATTTCACAAATATTTATGATTTGCACTTAGGTTCTCGATAAAGATTTATGACAAGAATGAGCCCTAAATAAAGATTTTCCAGATTGGAAGGGATCCAGATAATTTAATCATTAACCTCCTTTGCTTTTCAAAAATGGGAAACTTCATTTTTCAAGAGTCTAAAGTCATTTTTATCTCAAGCAGCTGTTATTATTAGAAAGTCCTTTCTTAGGTTAAGCCAAAAATCTGCCTCCTTTCCAGTATCAAGAAGAAAAGGCTACTTTAAGAAATGAACTTACGTAAAAGAAAGTGCTCTCAATTTCCAAACCCTTGGAAGATTCTAGTCATCAATTTCAGAACCATCACAAACTTCTCCTATCTCTTCAGCCTATAAATTTTTTTCAAGCATTTAACTAAAAAATGGCTAATTCATTATTAAATACTGTTTTCACATATTTTAATTTTTAATATTTTTACTATTTTTTATTGCATTGGATTAGGAAAACTTTTGTAGGATGAGAGTCACTATCAAGTATAATATTATTCTGTTGCAAAAATGAATCTTCACTTCTCAGAACACGCCCATGAAGTGTTTTAAGTACGGGGAAAGGGTGAGGGGGGCTTCACATGTAAAGTACTAGGGTAACGGGGGTTTTGAGAACTTGGTGGAAGGAAATAATAGAGGCGGCCAAACTTCGGACATGATAATCAATTCAGTTTTGCTGCTTCTGTTGGACAGAATTCATTGTTATATATGAAAACTGGGAACAGAGTCACATGGACAGCTGTTATATATTCTCAAATTTCAAAGATACTGAAATAGGAAGAGAAAATGCAGTGCCCACCAGGAAATCGTTTTTAGCTTCAACTCCACATTCAGACTCAGGGGACAGGTATCTGCTCCGAGGTGGAGAGGAGGAACCGGGGAGGGGGTCCTTCCCTCAGTCCAGGTAGCACTGGGCACAGATGTCAGGAAACTTCTCAGGTGCCAGCTCGTAAGTGCGACGTCCCTCCCCATCAGGTCCTTAGAATTCATTCACAGCTCCTCTCAATCTGAAGCAAGGTACCAATCATTTGTCCTTTTCATCATGAGCAACGTTGCTTAAAAACGTGTTTGACATTTGACTCTTGCCAGGTTACCAGGGGAACAGAGCTAGGATGTCAACCTAAGGGAACATTCTCTTGAAGAAAAACAAAAGGTTGGTTAACCCTTTACCTACAATACAAATGAAAGATAACAGAGAAACAGACTATGCAGTTTCTAGATACAGTAAACCTAGGAGATGAGAAAGCCAGACTTCCAACAGTATTAAAATAGGCAAAACCCAGCCAAAGCCCCTATGTGGCTGAAAGTTGTCACAAAGATCTTGTACCTCACTTAGTGACTGTCTTATTCGCCACCGTGTTTCTAGTGCCACACATAGTAGGTACTCAGGAAATACGTGTGGAATGAATGAACAAGTGAATGCCTAAGAGACCCTCCTGAGGCCTAACAATTGAAAATAAGATGGGCCCGAATTAGAAGTAGCAGTACCCCTCTTGGCTGAGTGAAGTGGAAGGTGATGCCCAGTGAGGGGGTGTGGACCAGTTTACTTAGAGATAAATGGCCGTTCAAAAGCTACTACTGGGGGTCAACCCAGGTAGACAAAAATATGTCAATGCTCCTTAGGCATTAAGGAAAATTGATGGAAGTTTAAGAAAAATTTAAGTGGTTCTTTGAATACTTGGTTTAAGAAGGTATAGAGATGTCAAAATTTTACAAAGGTTTTACCTAAGAAATGACCAGATTTGGTTGTATAGCTGATTCACTTTGTTATAAAGCAGAAACGAACACACCATTGTAAAGCAATTATACTCCAATAAAAATGTTAAAAAAAAAAAAGGTTTTACCTACAAAACTGTTAAAAGAGAACTCATTTCCTGAAAGTTATTGCACTTTGGAATTTTTATCCCTCTTTTAGTTCAAAAGTTTTCTCTAGTTTGTTCACCGCAAGTTAAAGTTTCTTTGCAAGAATATAGAAATATTACGTCCCCAATAATGGGATAGATCTTATGTGTTGAGTGTTCACTTTTTGGTTAACAAATATTTACTTTACTTGATACTTCTTTTTTTGGTTTTACCGTTACTCACTAGCTCTTGACCTGTTAGAGGCAAAGCTACATTGCTGTTCTGTAACCCAGCTCAAGAACATTTCCAAACTCGGAGCGTCATTTAGGAAAGTTTGCTGAGAGCTGGCAAGGTGAGGTGCACATTCGAACGAGTATATGCTTTTTTAAGGGGAGTGGCTCCTATTGTGTATACAAATTCATCAGAGTTAAGGCTACTTTATTGACTGAATTATGAAAATAAGTCTCCTCCTCAAACCAGCAGTACCTAGTCTAATGTGTACTTTTTTTCTTATGGAATAAAGAAGTTAGGAATTTTTGACATGTTCAGATGCAAACAAACATGATTAGTTGTGGACTTATTTTGTCCAATAAGCAGATTCAATCTCCCTAAGGACCTTGATGTGGTCATCCAACTACAGTAGGAATTAATAGGCAAACAGAAAAGTGTTATTTTTCTTCATTGCAGAACTGAAATGTTTCTTTACATCTGATGTTGGAAAATTACCATCCTAAAACGCTGATTTACAAGGTCATTATTTATAATGACTCCTTTTCTAAAAGTATCCTATACTATTTAAAAATTAAATTAGTGTCAATTTGCATTAATATGTTTTTATTAATACATTATATTCTCTGAGTTCATTGGAATGGCTGCACTATCCTTATTTACCAAACTAAAAAGTGACAGGAAAAACTGTCCAATATATAATTTGAATGCCTAGGGAAATTATCAGTGTGCAAACCATGTCCTGGGAAGTAGCCTAGCCCTTCTGAAAGCCTCAGTAATCCTTGGTAGACTGGACTGCTCTAAGCGTGAAGAAGAGCTCCAAATGGTCTATCCTCACAACACTTGGTTTTATTACCGCATGTGAGGCTTCAGCTATAGGTGTTTCCTCTCGTTTTCAGTCTGAACTTCACCTGTTTTCTCTTGACCTGTCAACGAAGCCACGGAGGTGTCCATTCCAATGTTTCGGCAAGGGTGATCATCATGTCTGGAGATATTATTCTAGAGAAAAGCTGAGGAAAAAAAGCAGAATCCTTTAAAAGGAGTCAAAGTGACATCTTTAGGGACTGCCCTGGCGGTCCAGTGGTTAGGACTCTGTGCTTCCACTGCAGGGGGTGCGGGTTCCATCCCTGGTGGGTGAACTAAGATCCTACAAGCTACACAACGCAGCCAAACCCGCCCCTAAAACAAACAAATAGAAAAGGGACACCTTTGTAAAGATTACTTTGAATTACACGACGTGCGAGTTGTCGTGATTCACACTGTGCACGTGTCACCGTTGAGAAGGACGGGCAAGCACTGCGTCACGTGCGCTGAGCGCAGTCCGACAACCAGGGAGCCTCGAACAATCCCAATGCTCAGGCCACAGCTTAGCCTTTTTTTTTTTTTTTTTTTGATGTGGACCGTCTTTAAAGTCTTTATTGAATTTGTTACAATATTGCTTCTGTTTTACATTTTGGTGTTTTGGCCACGAGGCATGTGGGATCTTAGCTCCCCGACCAGGGATGGAACCGGCCCCCTCTGCACTGGAAGACGAAGTCTTAACCACTGGACCGCCAGGGAAGTCCCTTCATATGTTAACTCACTGCCTTCTGTGGTAAGACTGTGTATATCCTGATTTACTAAACTAACACATGGTAGCAAAAAGTAGAAAGAAAACCAGACCGATTAAAGCAGAATTCCTCGGGAAGGGGTAGGCATCAGTTGTTTTAAGTGATTCCAGTGGACACCCGAGGTGGAGAATCATTGCTTTAGTTTCTTGAAGAGAGAGGAACTGTGCCTTTGGCTGAATTCTGCTTAGATCAGCTCAGCTCTGCTCAACTCAACACAACTTAGCAATTATTTATTGCGTGCATATTCTGTGTTAGGTACTCAGCCTGGAGCGTGGAGCAGGAAACTGTGTCCTGTCCTCAGGCCGTGTGTGCTATCAGCAAGGAGGACAGATATCACGCACGCAACCCACATGTGTGATGGGTGCTGCAAAAGTCAGGGACAGATGTGAGGGCTTGCAACATAAGGGACTTTGACCTCGTTCAGCAGCCAAGGCAGGATGAACAGGAGGTGGTGTCTTAGAATCTCCTGTGCGCCTCCCTGTTCAGGGAATGCGTGAATAAACCCACAGGTCCCAAAAATATGTTGAAGAGGGTATAAATAGTAAAGAAAGTCCTAGATTTATTAACAACATAATTTCATGATAGTGAATCACCGGTTGTGTTTTCCACTCTGCTAGTAACTTACAGCAGGAGAGGAGTATATCTGATGGTAAGAGCTTAAGATCGTAATCAGATGAAAACTTTGTTCCAGAGTTTATTAGCTGTTTAATCCTATAAAAGTGACTTACTCTCTGTAACCCTCAGATTCCGTAAGTGTGATAAAATGCATGCAAGGCTGTTATGCAGAGTCGGGCACATATAGCCTCCTGATGAATGTGAGATGTTGTTCCAGAGAAGACAGTGGGCCTGGCCTGAATCCACCCGCAAAGACTCCAGAACTCTTAGCATGAAGGTGCCGGTGCTCTTTTACTAAAAGCAGTGAGGAGCTTGCCAAATATCCTTAATACTTTTCCGTCAACACACACTCAGGTTTATTTGTCCTTTGTTTTCAAAATAGAATTTTACATTAGCTGAACCAAAAGAATTCACCAAAAAAATTGGTGTTCTATTTGTTTCTCTTGAAGTTAATAATTTGTCCTCTGTAAGACCCAATAGTTTCTAAATTTTCTCAGTGTCTGGAGTAACCAAGCCCAGATAGAAACAGTCCAATAAATTACCCTTGAACTATTTAAATATTACTTTTCCTTTATCATCTAAAAGGTATGAGGTTGCTTTCTGGCAAAAGAGGAAGCAATGATGAGACAATTTGTTCACACATAACCAAAATGATAGAGAAGTCATTATTAACTTACGCTTTAAGGAGCAACACAACATGCAAAAGTGTGGGCATTATCAAGTAAACCTGTTCCTCTAAAATAGCATTTATTATCCAGTAAACCTGTTCCTCTAAAATAGCATTTAAAACTTTTGGGGCAACATATTCCTGCTCCAGTATAGGCAGCAGAAGTGGATCCCTGGAATGAAAACAACAAAAAGTTATATTGTCAGAGTGGTATTTTTTTCGCTGCCATCGCGAGCACTAATTATTAAATTTTAGATATCAAGTTATTAACTTGATAATTAATTAGATTACAGTCATTAATTAGATGTCATTAATTAGATGTCTCTAAATATGCAAACCAAATGTAAATATCAGGAACTGCCTTGTGTTTTCTCTCATGACCAACATTGGGACCAGTGCTAATACATTTAATTTTTTAGAGTGAACGCCTGGCCTTTATTGATTTTCTGCTATGTGATGGTCTACACCTATGGAAGGAACTGCTTTGAGATTTTTTTTTTTTGTATTTTTCTTTTCTCTCTTTCAGTCCAAACATCAAGCAATTGTACACTATTAGGAAGCAAAATTGCAAAATTTTATTACCAGAAGGAAAAATCCCCTGAGCATGCGTCATGTGTCTTTGCTTTAGGCAGACTATTGTTACCACGTTAAGCAGACTTAGCTGTTTGTGAAATCAGTTGGAGTTGAGATGGGATAAGCACGGAATAGAGCTCCCATTAGGCATCACTTTGACATTTTATACTTTTATATTATGCTTCTCTATTATTTGAACTACACTGCCTCAAAAATTCTATTTACCTCAGCTGATTATTGAAAGCTGATTGATTTCTTGTAATTAAATGTTGGTAATTAGTCTTTATATTTTTTCTCCTAAAAGTTCCTTAGAACCATAGCCTAAAGGGCTCCAACATTTATTAAAAAACAGTTTTCCAAAGAAGAAATACAAATGGCCAACAGGTACATGAAATTGAGCACACGAAAAGGTGCTCAGTCATGATGCAAAGCAACACTGCAATGAGATATCACCTCATACCTGTCAGATGGCTATCGTCAAAAAGACAAGTGATAACAAATGCTGGTGAGGGTGTGGAGAAAAGGGAATCCTTGTGCACTGCTGGTGGGAATGTAAATTGGTGCAGCTGCTATGAAAAACCATACGGCGGTTCCTCAAAAAATTGAAAATAGAGCTACCATATGATCCAGCAATTCCACTTCTGGGTATAAATCCAAAGGATTTGGCATCAGGATCTTGTAGATATATCTGCACTCTCATGTCCATTTCAGCATTTTTCACAATAGCCAAGATATGGAAATATCCTAAGTATCCGTGGGTGGATGAATGGATAAAGAAAATCTGGTGTGGATAAAGAAAATCCAAATACACAGTGGAATATCATTCAGCCACGAGAAAGAAGGAAATCCTGCCGTTTGTGACAACTTGGATGAAACCTGAGGGCATTATGAAAAGCGAAATAATCAAGGACAAACACTGTATGATATAACTTGTACGGAGAATGTAAAAGAGCTAAATTCATAGAAATAGAGAGCAGAGTGGTGATTACCAAGAGCTGGAGGTTGGGGAAATGGGGAGATATTGATCAAAGGGTACAAACTTCCAGTTATAGCATTAACAATTTCCAGGGATCTAAAATACAGCTGTGATTATAGCTAACAGTATTTTGTTACATACTTGAATGTAGCTAAGAGAGTAAATCTTAAATATTCTCACCACAAAAAAGAAATGGTAATTATGTGATGAGATGGAGGTGTTAGCTAATGCTATGGTGGTAATCCTTTTGCGACATATAAATGTATCAAATCAACACATTTGTACGTCTTAAAGTCACACAATTTTATATGATGACTATGTCTCAATGAAGCTGGAAAAAATATAATCTACACATCATTGTTCATTTCATACTCTACCAGTTAGGATTATTCATCTTTCTTTTTCTAGAGACTTTGTTTTTACCTTTTATGAACTTAGGAACTCCACGTTTATACGGGCCATCATTTAATATCACTGTTTTCATTGGCTACCATGCCACCTCCTCTTGGCTGGTCACATTTATTCTGTGACCTTGACCCTCTAGCTTTTGAAACTAATGTTCTGTTATCAGCAAAAGTTTCTTAGCAAATGCAAAGGTCTCATTTCTGATTTTATCATTTGAAACGCTTCCTGCCATTCACGGCTGTCCTTTCCAACCAGATATACTTTATCTCTGCTGAATTCCAGAGCTTTTAAACTCTTCTGTGTAGAGTTCTTTTGTAGACACACTTCCTTCAAATTTTCTAGAAGTCTATTTCCAATAGTACTACATTTTCCCTTTATGGCCATTCCGTCAGCTAATATGAATTTTTAATTCATTATTTTATTTAAAATATTTATTATAAAGAATTTCAAAGAAACAAAATTAGAAAAGTATAATGAACAGTGATGTGATGGTAAATGGTGAACAATTGTTCCTCTGGGGGGAAAAATGTATTTATGGTTTCTAACCTCACCTGACTTTACTCTCTACTTTGCTCACCGTGCTAAGACACAGCAGCCTTCTTTCAGGTTCTTAAGAATCCCCATTTCCTTCTGATCTCAAGGGCTTTGTGCAGGGTACTTAGACGCTCTTCCCACTTGCTCTTTACCTAGTTAATTCCTACTTCTCTGACTTTTGGGTCTCAGTTTTCTTTTCTTTTTTTTTTTTTTTGGCTGCTCTGTGTGGCACGTGGGATCTTAGTTCCCCAACCAAGGATCGAACCCATGCCCCCTGCAGTGGAAGCATGGACTGCCAGGGAAGTCCCCAGGTCTCAGTTTTCAATGTCACTTCCTCTGAGAAACTACCACTGACTCCTCCTCCCCATTCTAAAGTATATGTCCTTTATTCTCTCTCATAACACCTTTTTACTTTTATATCACTTAATCACATATTATTATCAATTCTTACTAATATTGTTATTTAAATAATAATATTAGAACAAAGAAGTAGAGAAAATAATTCTTAAAGAGGAAACTTACTTCAGTATAACAAAGGTCATATACAAAGCCCAGAGCTAATATCATATTCAATGGTGAAAAGACAGTTTTTGATTAATGTTTTTAGCCTGGTTTTCTACTAGACAGCAAGAAAATTTTAAACAAAAAGGAAAGATCCGTGGGGGGTGCTGGAGATTACAATACTTTTGATAAAAGGAAGAGGATTGTGAGGCCGTCGTTTCATTGCTCACACGTTTGTGGGTCACTACTGGGGAGGCACCAGGGCCCCTGACGCCAGGCAGATGGAATCACAGCTCTGCTCTATCACTAATTTCCTTCATGACTTGGTTTCTTGTCATCAGTACAGTGGACAATGTTATAGTACCTACTTTATTATAAAGACTATATATAATAATGCTGCAGGCCTCAGAGTCCTGATCTGTGACTTAGTGCTGGCACTGGGACTGGGGCCCCTCCTCCGCAAGCTCCTTTCTTGAGCTCACCCCAAAGACCTTCATCTGTGAACCTTTCCTGTCACACTGTTTTTGCTTTTGCAGAATAAGAACTGATATTGATTCCACTTGTTCTGTTCTAAAATACACCTAGTGGGGGCTTCCTTGGTGGTGCAGTGGTTAAGAATCCACCTGCCAATACAGGGGACACGGGTTCGAGCCCTGGTCCGGGAAGATCCCACATGCCGCGGAGCAACTAAGCCCATGCGCCAAAACTACTGAGCCTGCGCTCTGGAGCCCGTGAGCCACAACTACTGAGCCCGCAAGCCACAACTACTGAAGTTCACGTGCCTAGAGCCCGTGCTCCGCCACAAGAGAAGCCACCGCAATGAGAAGCCCGCGCACCGCAACGAAGAGTAGCCCCCGCTCACTGCAACCAGAGAAAGCCCGCACGCAGCAACAAGGACCCAACGCAGCCAAAACTAAAATTAAATAAATAAATAAATTTATTTTTTAAAAAAATAAAATACACCTAGGGATCTATATATAATCCCTAGGTTATATTCTCATTAGCTGGTGGTGCATTATAAGAAACAAATCCTATGGGGGCCCCAAAGAAAAAAGGAGGCGATAGAAATTGAAGGAGAAAAGTGAAGAGGAGGTTTCAGAAGGTAAGTATCCCAGAGCCGGAAGTTGATCAACGTTTTCTGAGTGAGTAAGTGTACTCTACACTTGGAGCATGGATCGCCAGAGGAAAGGACAGCCTCTCGGAGTTCTGCCATCAAAGCGAACTGCGTGCGCCCTTTCAGATCGTGGTGCAGTGGATGAGAGCGACTCTGACTCTGAGTCCTGGTGGGTTTGGCTCCGCCCATGATCAGTTTCAGGATCTTGGGCAACTTACACATTCTCCTCACTCCTAAGTTTCCTCATTTGTAAATGGGGAGGGTGAGGACAATATACTCCCAAGAGGGCTGTGTGTGTTTTATTAAATGAGTTATTAGGTGCCTATAGTGCTTAGAATAATAGCTCCTGGTAATACCGTGTTTTGTCTTGTCCTGTCTTCACCCAGTTCTGAGGCCCTGGCTAGAGGCTAGTCCATTCCCCCTCTTGATCAGCTGATTAAGTCTGCACCCCAAGCACCTCCCTTACTGGGCTCTCACTCTGTAGACTACCGTACACCTGTCCTAATCGCCCCAGGGTCAGGTATCAGATGGCCAGGGATGCCCTGTGTGGCCCAGATCCTGCTGACGTGATTCAGATCAATCCATCCTAAGCCTGCTGGTCCTGCCTCACCTGTTCCTACTTGTGGAAACCACAATAAAGTCTCTGGTCCACGTCCTCTGTCTCACCTGCCTCCTGACCAGCCTGATGTTTCCCCTGGTGGCCCTGCGTGGCATGCCGTGTTCTCCCCAGGGAACTGTTAGTCTAGCAGGACTGTGACACTATTTCTGGTTTCTCTGCTTCATCTGTGTATTTATCTTCACTGCACCTCACCCAAGGCATATGGTCGAAACACCTCTCAGCAGCTAGACCGTTGTTAGAGTGCGTGGAAACTGCACAGCAAGTAGCTGTTATTATTAAAGTATTTATTGATATTTAGTGTGAAGTTAGAACGAATATCCACAGGCTAAATCTAAGAGAAAATTTAGTCTAGAAACATGCTTAATGCTTCTTCCCTATCCTCCATACTTTCTACCCTCAGTACAGGTTGACAGTGGATGTACATTGGAATCATACAATGCAGAGACTTAAGTTAAAGCTGAGTGTCATATTGAAGATCATCTGGTCCAATCTTTTCATTTTACTGATAAAGAAACAGAGACGTAGAGAGGACAGGTAACTAGGTAAATGAACAGCAGAGCCAGTGCTAGTTCTAGTTTCTACTGACCTCTGATGGCAAATGAGTCACCAGAAGAAAGCAGCTGGGCAACAACTCAAAAGGCTCAGCAAATGCCCACTTGCATTGTTTTCTTCCGTTTCCCTTTCTGGAGGCCACAAAGTCAGATTTCTGACATGCAGAATCAAGCGAGAGGCACACAGAACTCTCAGAGGAAGTGGATGACAGATTTTCTCCTCTTCTCGTTGTAAAAGCATACTAGATGCAATGCTTTTCTTGGGCATAGAAACTAAGAAGAACATCAATCAGCTTACCTGATCAGCAAATCTGTAGACATCTTGCCTGTTGCCACAGTTACATGTGTAGGCAAATACTTTCACATCACCCTTTTCTTTGATCATTCGACACGTTTCCATGTTGCCTTCTTCGTTAATGTCCCATAGAACTAAAATGGCTCCAAGGCTGGCAAATGTTATGGCCGATAACCTCCCAAGTCCACTTCCAGCTCCTGTTATAAGGACAATCTTTCCAGCAACATTCTTTTTCTTCTTGGGAATTATCCTGTAAACTAAAGATTCTAAAATATAATATAGAAAATTTCCCCAAAATATGGAGGTGTCCAAAATTGTACTCATGTTAATTCACTGAAGAAAGGAACGTCTTAATTAGGAAAGAGGTAACTGATAAATTCATGACATTATCACAACAACTGCAAAAGACGTAAAGCACTTAGTCCAAGGGAAATTACCCTTGAGACATCAGTTCTTCAAAATACAAATTTCCGCAATAACTACTACCATCTTTGAATGCTTAAGTTATATAAATAATGAGTATGAAAATATTTTATGTTAACAAGAATCTTTCCAACTTACAGGGCGCTTTCTTACAGGTAATCTAATTTGACCTACAGGTAATCTAATTTGACCTACAGGTAGATCGCATGTTACTAGGAGAGCTTCATAGTGAGGGACATAAGATCTTTGAGTATCGACTTGCCCAACATTATGTGACTTGTACACCAAGATTTCGGATTCTTAGTCTGGTCAGTTTTCTATTACATGAACTCGATTCATGATCTCATATCTAATAGAAATTTGCTTTTCATTAAGAAGTTGTTCAATAACATAGAAATAATATTTATTGTAATACAAATAAAGTCTTTTTATGTTTTCACATGATATTTGTAATATCCCCCTGAGAGAGTCAAACCAGGTACAGTTATTACTGGTTTATAGTGAAGACCTGAGACTAAAATGATTGAGTAGATTTATTCAAGGTCACATAGGCAGCTAATAAAATAGGGAATATCTGGATTGGGGACAGAGGTCTTCTGAATGCCCAGGCCTTTACCATTAGAACAGGCTTTTTCTGGAGCTAATGTGCCTTTTGCCAAGACCCACCTTTTAAAAAATAAAATAATGGAGCATTTTTTGTTTTCGGTGACATTTCCTTGATTTTTGATAATCATCTTGTTACACTCGAACATTCTTACATGATCATTTCTGTAGAAGTTAGATGTGGACACCTATAAAAACCCACATTAAAGCGGATCACAGCTCCTACACTGTTGGTGGGAAAGTAATTTCGTGCAGCCACTATGGAGAACAGTATGGAGGTTCCTCTGAAAACTAAACATAGAACTACCATATGATCCAGCAATCCCATTCCTGGGCATATACCTGGAAAAAACTATAATTCATGAAGATACATTCAACCCTATATTCACAGCGGCACTCTTCACAATTGCCAAAGCATGGAAACAACCTAAATGTCCATCGACAGATGAATGGATAAAGATGTGGTAATATGTACAATGGAATACTACTCAGCCATAAAAAAAACACAAAATAATGCCACCTGCAGCAACATGGATGTAACCAGAGATTATCATACTAAGTGAAGTAAGTCAGAACAGAAAGACAAATGCCATATGGTATCGCTTATATATGGAATCTAAAATATGGCACAAATGAACCTATCTACAAAACAGAAACAGATTCACACACACAGAGATCAGACTTGTGGTTGCCAAGGAGGAGGAGGGGAGGGAGAGGGATGGATTGGGAGTTTGGGGATGTTAGATGCAAACTATTACATTGAGAATGGATAAGCAACAAGGTCCTACTGTGGAGCACAGGGAACCATATTCAATATCCTGTGATGAACCATAATTGAGAAGAACATGAAAAAGAACGTGTATATATGTATAACTGAGTCACTCTGCTGTACAGGAGAGATTGCTGCAATATTGTAAATCAACTATACTTAAATAAAAAAACAAAACGATAAAACAGACCACAGCTTCTTGAGGAAATAACAAACACTAGCACCATAATAATAATAATAATAACAACAGCAATACGTTTGGACTCTTCCTACACACCTGGCAAGTTCTAAGTGTTCTGCATGCGTTGATTCATTTAACTCTTCCAAGCGCTGCCCTGTTTTACAGTTGAGAGATCAGAGTTACTAAGAGGCTAAGCCAATTAGCCCACGGTCACACAGTTAAAAATAATGAGGATGGAATTTGAAGCCACACAGTGACTTCACAGCCAAGCTCCAGATGACAAGAGATATAACAACAAAAACAAAAATGCAAAAGTTGAGTCTGGTAAAAAGAATTATTTTTGTGTTACATCTATTTCATTTTAAGTCAGTGAGGAATTAACGTTGAGATGTCTCTGGGACCTAAGTGAGATTGCCAAAAGACCCAGGCTACTTTCATCTTGCTGTCAGTCCTGACCAGCCAGAACTTTCCACTGAGAAAAGATATAAAAGAGCATTACTGCAAGAACACTGTTATAAATATTTATGTGAATTTCCATAGGGACATAAAAAGTCCCCAGGAAAGCATCTAGGCCTTCACTGGATTAAATGAGTATGTACTGAACATGAGTCACTTTCAAAACATTAGGCATTGAGGTTTTTTTTATGAAATAACATTTATTTTCCTGTTGATATATTTGAACAATTTGCATTGAAGTTAACACACACAGGAAAGGAAGAATTCCCTAAAGATTATTGCTTTTTTTTTTTTTAGTTTATGTAGCTTTTTATTTTTTTAATTTTTTTACATCTTTATTGGAATATAATTGCTTTACAATGGTGTGTTAGTTTCTGCCTTATAACAAAGTGAATCAGTTATACATATACATATGTTCCCATATCTCTACCCTCTTGCGTCTCCCTCCCTCCCACCCTCCCTATCCCACCCCTCCAGCCGGTCACAAAGCAGGGAGCTGATCTCCCTGTGCTATGCGGCTGCTTCCCACTAGCTATCTACCTTACGTTTGGTAGTGTATATATGTCCATGCCTCTCTCTCGCTTTGTCACAGCTTACCCTTCCCCCTCCCCATATCCTCAAGTCCATTCTCTAGGAGGTCTGTGTCTTTATTCCTGTCTTACCCCTAGGTTCTTCATGACATTTTTTCCCCCTAAATTCCATATATATGTGTTAGCATACGGTATTTGTCTTTCTCTTTCTAACTTACTTCACTCTGTATGACAGACTCTAGGTCTATCCACCTCATTACAAATAGCTCAATTTCGTTTCTTTTTATGGCTGAGTAATATTCCATTGTATATATGTGCCACATCTTCTTTATCCATTCATCCAATGATGGACACTTAGGTTGTTTCCATCTGCGGGCTATTGTAAATAGAGCTGCAATGAACATTTTGGTACATGACTCTTTTTGAATTATGGTTTTCTCAGGGTATATGCCCAGTAGTGGGACTGCTGGGTCATATGGTAGTTCTATTTATAGTTTTTTAAGGAACCTCCATACTGTTCTCCACAGTGGCTGTATCAATTTACATTTCCACCAGCAGTGCAAGAGGGTTCCCTTTTCTCCACATCCTCTCCAGCATTTATTGTTTCTAGATTTTTTGGTGATGGCCATTCTGACTGGTGTGAGATGATATCTCATTATAGTTTTGATTTGCATTTCTGTAATGATTAATGATGTTGAGCATTCTTTCATGTGTTTGTTGGCAATCTGTATATCTTCCTTGGAGAAATGTCTATTTAGGTCTTCTGCCCATTTTCGGATTGGGTTGTTTGGTTTTTTGTTATTGAGCTGCATGAGCTGCTTATAAATTTTGGAGATTAATCCTTTGTCAGTTGCTTCATTTGCAAATATTTTCTCCCATTCTGAGGGTTGTCTTTTGGTCTTGTTTATGGTTTCCTTTGCCGTGCAAAAGCTTTGAAGTTTCATTAGGTCCCATTTGTTTATTTTTGGTTTTATTTCCATTTCTCTAGGAGGTGGGTCAAAAAGGATCTTGCTGTGATTTATGTCATAGAGTGTTCTGCCTATGTTTTCCTCTAAGAGTTTGATAGTTTCTGGCCTTACATTTAGGTCTTTAATCCACTTTGAGCTTATTTTTGTGTATGGTGTTAGGGAGTGATCTAATCTCATACTTTTACATGTGCCTGTCCAGTTTTCCCAGCACCACTTATTGAAGAGGCTGTCCTTTCTCCACTGTACATTCCTGCCTCCTTTATCAAAGATAAGGTGACCATATGTGCGTGGGTTTATCTCTGGGCTTTCTATCCTGTTCCATTGATCTATCTTTCTGTTTTTGTGCCAGTACCATACTGTCTTGATTACTGTAGCTTTGTAGTATAGTCTGAAGTCAGGGAGTCTGATTCCTCCAGCTCCGTTTTTCGTTCTCAAGATTGCTTTGGCTATTCGGAGTCTTTTGTGTTTCCATCAAATTGTGAAATTTTTTGTTCTAGTTCTGTGAAAAATGCCAGTGGTAGTTTGATAGGGATTGCATTGAATCTGTAGATTGCTTTGGGTAGTAGAGTCATTTTCACAATGTTGATTCTTCCAATCCAAGAACATGGTATATCTCTCCATCTACTTGTATCATCTTTAATTTCTTTCATCAGTGTCTTATAATTTTCTGCATACAGGTCTTTTGTCTCCTTAGGTAGGTTTATTCCTAGATATTTTATTCTTTTTGTCGCAATGGTAAATGGGAGTGTTTTCTTGATTTCACTTTCAGATTTTTCATCATTAGTGTATAGGAATGCAAGAGATTTCTGTGCATTAATTTTGTATCCTGCAACTTTACTAAATTCATTGATTAGCTCTACTAGTTTTCTGGTAGCATCTTTAGGATTCTTTACGTATAGTATCATGTCATCTGCAAACAGTGACAGCTTCACTTCTTCTTTTCTGATTTGGATTCCTTTTATTTCCTTTTCTTCTCTGATTGCTGTGGCTAAAACTTCCAAAACTATGTTGAATAAGAGTGGTGACAGTGGGCAACCTTGTCTTGTTCCTGATCTTAGTGGAAATGCTTTCAGTTTTTCACCATTGAGGATGATGTTGGCTGTGGGTTTGTCATATATGGCCTTTATTATGTTGAGGAAAGTTCCCTGTATGACTACTTTCTGTAGGGTTTTTATCATAAATGGGTGTTGAATTTTGTTGAAAGCTTTCTCTGCATCTATTGAGATGATCATATGGTTTTTCTCCTTCAATTTGTTGATATGGTGTATCATGTTGATTGATTTGCGTATATTGAAGAATCCTTGCATTCCTGGAATAAACCCCACTTGATCATGGTGTATGATCCGTTTAATGTGCTGTTGGATTCTGTTTGCTAGTATTTTGTTGAGGATTTT